CGGCTCTGAAAGTTTCTGTGCCATGCCCAAAGCCACACAGCTGCAACTGGGATTTCAAGCTAAGCATTCTGGCTCCCAAGCACTCTGGCGCAGGGGCTAAGTGAATGAACTTAGCCCTTGCACTGCCAAGATGGTCAGGAATGGCCTCACCAATTCTACAGCCCCTGCGGCTTGGGCCACGGAACACACTGCTGGTCTCCAAACCCAGCCTTGGTTTCCCTGGAAGATGGAAGTAGCCCAGAGGACAAAGGAAAAGAACCCACATCGCCACCCTCAGCCAGATCTTCTCACAAGCCAGAAAGAATCATCCCTCACGAAGGGGCTCTTGGGCAAGCTTAACAGCAACGATAATGGTTTTTAAAAAGCTACTGCTACAAAAGCGGAAACAAATCTGGGTGACTAAGTCATCTGCATTGCTGGAAAATGAGTCTTCTTTCTACCCATCTCTTCATTCTGAATTACAAGATGATAGTGTGGTTTAACAGCATGCCGAAAGCCATCCGGCTAATGAATAAAGTAAATCCTCAGCCTTTTTATCCCAGATTTCTATCTTTCCCACTGTCATTACCATCTTGCTTAGAAAATCATTTCTGGATCTTTCTGCCGCTCCACAGAGCTAGACTGTCACTTAAAGGCCTGTTAACCAAGTGAAATTGCTGTTCTGCAGCAGCAAATAAAATTCACACGCAGCACAGATGAGTTTATCATGGGAGCTGATTAATTAGCAGCTCTGGAGCCCTGAAAATAGAGTTCCATTTCATTACCACAGACACATAGTTTCTGGTGAATACTATTCTGATTTAAACACACTTACTCCAAGGGTGGGGATGATATGGAGGTGAAAGAGAAGTGGAATGTCTATTGCTTCGCAGGAGAAAGATCAAATATGAAAAGGACTTTTTTAGTAATGGGATGATTAACCTTCTCTTATCATGGCCAGGCCTACTCTATTCCCAGAGCCCGTGTGTTTCCATGCGCAGTAGCTCATTTGGGCCTCGACCATGGTAGGTCATGGGCACCATTACTGCTTGCATCCTGCGTGGGAAGGAACGGAGGCACACGTTGAAAAGCATAGCTCGAGTTAACACTCGGCTGACTCCAGAGCAGCAGTTCTGAACAGGGGATGTTTGCGATGTCTGAAAATATTTTTGATTGTCATGAGTTGGTCGTCGTTGTTGGGTATCACAAGTCTGGATGTGTCTAGGGGGCAGAGGCAAGGGTTGCATTGAGCATCTTAGACAATGCATGGGACATCCCCCCACAGCAAAGAATTACCATCCCAATTGTTGATAGTGCCAGAGTCAAGGAATCCTGCTCCAAAGCCTGCTTTTTTTGCTATTCTGAGCAAAGGAAAGGGCATACCGTTTAGGAGGCAAGTCATCAGTGATCATGCCCTCCTATGTATTAGCTGTGTTATTTCCTGGCAGGTCACCTCCACAGCAAAAGTCCATACATAAGATTGATAGTACTTGTCCTGCTTAAATCCTATATTTTACCTCTTAAAGCCCCTGAGAGATTGAAGATTCACTATCAAAAGCCAGAAAATATCTGGAAATAATTAAACATGTGGCACTGGGCCAGAAATATCAAATGCATCGATCAAATCGAAGTGAGATTCAAGAAGACATTTATGCACATGCTGGAATTTAGGACAAGGTAAGAATATTCTTTCCAAGCCAAGGAACTAACCAAAAAGCAGCACAGAGAGAGATATGCATTCATGTGTTGTTTTAGCTATGCAATTTTTTCCTAAATCTAAAAGGATCCTAACATTAAAAGCTTATTTTTTATAAGGCAGAATGCAAATTTAATCTATAGAAGAAAAATTAACATCAGATCTGTATCACATCATATATAAAATTCATCAGCTGGATGTACAGCAATGCATATAGACAATATGATAACAAAAACTATAAGAGTTTCAAAACTAAATGCAAGAATAAATCTTTGCAACCATTGAAAAAGGTCTTTCTCAACAAGGCCGAAAAAGTCTAAAGGAAAAAAACAAAAGGTTTGTGACTCTGTGGCCAAACAATCCAAAGAGTATCTGTTCAGGAAAGAAATAATCACAGTTGTTTTCGCATCTTTCCTGTGAGAGAAATTCCACAGCCAGAGGGAAACGACAGTGGGGGAATACCCACCAGCATTCCACTCTGTTAGACTTGGGTAGGGTTCTTCTTCCTTCTCCCTGTTGCTGTTGTCGCTGGTTAAAGAAAGTCTCTGGGAATGGAAATGGAATGATATTTGTACATAGGTACAACTCCAGAGCACAATTCTGCTAGAACAATGGGCCTTTTTCTTTAACTTTTTTTTTCAGTACTGGAGATTGAACTTAGGGCCTTGTACATGCTAGGTAAGTGCTCTATTCCACTTACTACAGAGCTATATCCCCAACCCTTTTGTTTATTTTTTTTACTTGAGACAGGGTCTCACTAAATTGCCCAGGATGAAATCAAACTTAATGATCCTCCTGCTTCAGCCTCCCAGGGTGCTGAGATTACAGGCATACACCACCATCTGGCTCTTTTCTTGTTATTTTAATGCCTGAACTAACCTGGGTGACATTTTCTCCAGTGGTGAAAACAGCTGGTATCAAGGATTATAGTCAGACAACTGCTGATCCCTCTAGAGCAGGCTAACCCCAAAGTAGCAGCACTGCAAGATCCTCCCCAGGACCCCAAAAGAAAACCACAGAATGTGTGCAGCTCCATCTCCAAAACTCTGGAATTAGCATCCCTAGAGATCTGCAGATTTTTATGCCCAAGCCTTAAAGAGGGAAGGGAAAGGGGACATAAAAAGAATTAAGATGTGTGAGTTTTGTACATGTACCAATTCCCCAAAATGAATGTAATCATTATGGACTACAAACACACACTAATAAAAATAAAAATTTAAAGAAAACAAAGAATTCACACAGATTTCAGAGATTAAAGCCTAAGGCCTCCATGGCAAACAATTAAAAAATAAAACTCTAAGTCATTTTTTTAAGCATGAACTTACATCTTCCAACAGGAATGTATGTAAATAGTCATATCCTTAAGGATGTAAGGTTTTAGCGGAGTAAGGAACTTAAGAAAGATCTAGAATCTAGAGCTTGGACAAGACATCTGCCACCCTTCCACAGTGTATCCACGCAGTTGTTTTTTCCTATGATCTTTCCTTAGAGAATCAAAGACTCCCTTCTGAAGAAAGGATAATAAATAATAGGTAGAACAGTATCTGCACCAGGCTGACCTGGGCAGAGTCAGATGTAAGTTTGAGTCCCTCTTAGGCAGTAGGGCCTGCGTCGATCCCTTGATCTGTTTGAGCCTCAATTCCTTAGTCATGGAATGCACACAGCTGATTCACCCAGTAAATATTAAATAAGCTCTCATAGAATGTGCCAATTTACTGTCAGAAATTTCCTGAAAAGTTACATAACATGGTACAGGGAAACGGTTTCCAAATTATAAATCATAAAAATATTTCGTAAGTTATTGTTGAAAATAAAAATAACTTCCATTGTTATTAAGACTAAAGCAGAAAACCCAATGTTTTGTACAACTAATACGCACTTTAAAAAAAAAAAAAGACTGAGTCTGAGAGCAAAATAAGGAACTTTTGTCAGATTGTGGAACAACCAGAAGGAGCGATCACTATCAGAGTTCAAACTGTGCCCAAAAGCTGGCTTTTAGGGACCGTATTCCAAGACTGTAAATTGTTGACAGCCAGAGAAAACAAACGTTTACTATAGATTTAGCCCAAAGGGTTACACGGAGTGAGACGACTACACAGAGCTGATCCAGCTCACACTGATCCCAGGGAACTTCTGGGTAAAGTGAGACAATGGGAATTCAGAGATGAGAAGAAGATCAAGAATGCACCAAGGAACAGTCCACCCATGCCTCACCCATCCCACGCCTGGGCCTCACGGTATCCGAAAGTGAAGACCAGATGCCACAGCTCCGCCTTGACAAACCAAGCAAATGCAGACAATCAGAACAGACCCGAGTGTCAAACGTTCTACCTTCTTTCTGAGCTCCACCGCCATAGATCTGTCCTGAGCAGCACTGTCCATCAGGGGAGCAATGAGACTAAGTGAATAAGTCACGCTCATTCTGTTCCAAAGCCCACTGTCAACATCTCGAGGACAAACACATCAGCCCCGTGCTGCAGTCAGAAGGATTTGGAGCAAAACCTAAGTCCAACAAAGACAGAAAAATGAACCAAGGCATACAGGACGTGAAGGCCTCAAATCACAAGCAGATACACCAAAGCCCATCCAACCTTCAAGAAAGAAAAGATACACTATTTGCCAATTCACATAGGTCAGGTGCAATATGTAAAAAAAGATCATTTTAAAGATAAAAAAATAAAATCCCTTAATATCCAAAAATAAGACTGAGTGAGCTTGGAAACAAGAACACAATAAACAAAAAGTAGCAGGCATGATCCCCCAGCCCCAAGCGCCCCAAGTGCACCATCTCTTCTGTGCAACTTTTTCGTGTGATTGCCTCTGCAAAGACAGTCGAGGCCTTGCCAAATAGAAGCACAGCCCACAGCTCCAGGGTTGAAAACATGTGCGATAGCCTGTATAGGCTCTAAACCACTTCCCAGGGCCGCCCCACCCCCAAAAGAACAAAAGGTTAAAAATATTTTCCTTTTGGAAACGGACCCAGGTCTTAAGGAAAGCGCTGTAAGTATTTCCAAGCTCCTGACAAAAAGTCTCCTCTACTTTCACTCTAACGTCATGCAGTTTGCCTTAAACATTTGGATTATATCTCTAATGCGCCGTTTACTCTGCAATAATCCACTGTACAAAAGCCTGCTGCCTCTCAAACAGACGATAAGTACATCGTAAATCACCTGGCAATGATTTTTTTTCTCTAGCTCCTAGTCACAGTGGGCTCCTAAAATTTCATTTTATTTTTTTTCCAGTTCGGCCGCCCTTCTCCCCATCCTCATTTTGCTCCTGTCCAACCAGACCACCCCTTGGGTACGGCTTCCTGCCCCGATTTTACCACTCCACTCGGCCTGCTGCTGCCGTCCTGGGAGGGGAGAGCGCTGTCTAGGGTCTTGGAGGAAGAGCATCTTTCTGGAGGAAGGTTCTGGCTCACTGGGGTAGAGGAAGGCACCCGCAGGCCTATTTGCATATGCTTTTATTCCATTTCCACACCCTGCACGCTAACGCTCTCTGGAAAGTCCCTTCTCAATTCCCTCCTAGTGGCGGCGAAGAGGAAGAGGCTGAGCCAGAGGGGAAGGTTCCATCCAGGCGGTGTCAGCGTCTCCCCGGGGGAAGCCTCCAGCTCCCTCCCGAGGCCCACAGGGTCCAGACCCACGTCAGTGTCCACGGGGGACCCCGTCCAGCACGGCTGAGAGCTGCAGGCTGCTCTGGCCTGCACGCTCCGGGGAGCTCTCTGCAGGACGCACGCTCCTCCGGCCTCCCCCGAGGAAGTTCTGGTCAGGCGCTCGGTCCCCAGGCTTCCTGTCTGTACTCTCCGCAGCCCCGCGGGGAAATCCCGAGACCTCTATCGGCTGCCCAATGAGCCAGTTGGCTTTTCAAGTATGCGCAGGGCTGAATTTCGGCCAAAACCTCAATGTATCGTTAACCAAAAACAAATAAATACCGTGTGTAGGCAGCAGCGGGGTGGGAGAGAATTGGCCTTTAGGGTAAGGATCAGGCAGAAAGCGCTTTTCTCCCTGCTGAGGATACAAGAGGCCTGGGTTTGCTCAACATTTAAACAAACGGATGCTTTCAACAGTAAACTGACTGCTTGAAGCGAGCAGCAGCCCGCCAGGCTGGAGATTCAGAACTCCGTCCTCCGGCACACTCCTCCAGAAGCGTGGACATTCAAGGCAGTCCTGAGGGGCAGCTGGTAACCGCGAAAGCTACATTTTAGCGGTGCCAGGCACTCTGACAAATGTTTCACCCGCATGATTTTTCCTAGTCCCACAGCAGTCCTGTCAGTATTATGTTCCCCATTTTACTGATAGAGAATTTATGCTCGGTGAGTTTAGGGGGATTTGCCTAAGGTCACACTGTTAGTAAGTGCCTCCACAGGAGGCCTCTTGTGCTCCTTTTTCCAAAGTGGAAAGGCCTTGAAAGGCCCTTGGAATGTGCAACTGCAGATTCAAATTCCTTCTCAGGGTAAATATCGTGCCTTCCCTGTGCAATCTGCCCATGGCCAGAAAAGAGGCAGTTAGGATGTCGAGTCAGGAACTGGTAGTGTCTCTGGCCTCACCAGAGAGTGTTCCTTGTTCATCTTGTGGGTTCCCAAAAGGTTTGTTTGAACTTCTGTTATAGATAACTTTTCAAAAAGCAAATATTTATTGAGCACCTGTTACATGCCAGACATTGTACAGACGTACATGCCCTTATTTAATCCTCCCCATGACCCCCCCCAAAAGTACAGACTATTCTTATCTCAAATTACAAATGAGGAAACCGAGGCTGAGAGATTTTAAATCTCGCCCAAGCTTTCACAGCTTGAAATGAGCACAGCCACAGTTTGAAATGATCTCTGCTGTCCCCAAATTTCTGATGGTCCCATACGCTGCATTACGTTCCCTCTTGAGAGGTGCACATCAGAGATATTTCTTTACATGAGATTGTCTCCCTCCGGAAGGGAGCTTCCTGGCCACGTACACTGTGGGCCCCAGCTTCTGAGTCCTGGCTCTGAGCAGACCACGCACTGATCAGCTGTGGAAGGAGGAAGCAGAGAGTGTCCAAGAGAGCTCAGAGCACACCCAACCCATCCCGTGTCAGATGAAGGAGTAAATGACCTATTTGTGAAGCTATATAAAAGGTCAGGAGTAACAGTGTGTCAAATGGTGACCAACCTGTTTAAAGAAATCTGAACTTATTTGGATCCATGAACTGGGGCAAGGCTCAAATGGAATAAACAGGAGGAACTCAGGCCTGGCTGGTCTCTGCTAACAAGTACATTACCCCGTTCCGGTCCGTTAGCTTCTGCGTTCCTACGGGCTCCTTCACAACACCTGGGGCTCGTGTGGGATGGTTTTCCAGAAACAGCCAAGTGGATGCTGGGAGCCAGGATTTAAATAGCTCTAGGCTGCCAGCTATATGCACTTCTATTGTCTGCCTTTTGCCTCAGGAAGAATAGACTAAAATCAACGAGGCAGCCTTTCATGGACGCTATGTGAATTGAGCCTTGTCCTTTTATAATCAAAATTATATATATATATATATATATATATATATATAT